AGCGAAGGAGACAGCAAAACAACACTCAAAAAGACTGTGAACTGTCTCATGTTAGTAAGACAGTTTACACCATCTCGCATGCAAGACAGTGTATACTGTCTCGCACCGGGAGACGGCATAGGCTGTCTCACCAATGGTGAGACAATTACCCCGGTTTTCTAACAGTTTTGCGACTTTTGTGGGGTCCACTTAGCTCCATAACTACTGGGAAACATGCATGGACGGTTATATATGAGAGATACGCCTACTACCCTCGAAAAACGTGGCAATTAACGTAATTTAAGAGAGTGGGCAACAGTTGCAAAACTGACTGGAACCACCCCTTTGGCCGAGACAGTAAACATTGTCTCGCACAAAGAGGATGATGATCACCAACTGTTTCAACTCCCTTTCGACGATTACAGCTTCCAATGGCTATAAATACCTTCCTTATGCACTAAGAGAGGTACATAGGACGAATATCTAAAAGCAGAGATGAGCTTTTGCCAAACTTTGAGCACAAAAGAGAGAGTTCTTCACCACTTTCAAGCAATTTCAAGAACCCTTCGGTGTTTCATCAATTTCAAACTTAGATTTGATTTTGAAAAGAGTATTTATCTTACTTTGCGAAGATATTTACTTTTGTTCTTGTTTCCATGTAGAAACATCAATGTCAAACATTCTTCACATCCAACTTGGATCGTTGAATCGATGGTCCACGGATTACGCATCCCCAACACAGGCAAAAATCCCAAGCAAGAAGATGCTACTACGTAGGAGTTTTTGTGTGTATTTCTTAGGAGCACCAATTTTTTTATTGTAAAGAGAAGTTTTACGCATGTAAGACCTACTCTTTTGTTTCTGTTAAAATATTTGTAATGGAAACTGCAATGAAAATCGTTCCTGACACAAATAATAGTACTTTCCAAGTTCCACAACATAGACCTTAGAATGGATCGGCTTGAGGAGAGCGATCCACTCTTCGTTGCGGCCAGCAACGATGATCTGAGAAGCCATGGAAGATCGTTTGATGACAAAGGAATTGAGAAAGTTTAAAGAGAAGAAAAGCGCTAGAAATTTAGAGCAGAAATCTGTAAAGAGTTCTTCTCTCCCCCCATCGGGCTATTTATAGCATTCAAGAGGCACATGGAGTTATTCAGACGGTTGCTTCATTTCAAAATAAACATGCGAGATTCATCTCGAAATCTCAAACGTCTTTCATGAAATTCAAAACGTCACTCCCCTTTACTCCGCACCACTTTACTCAAAAATCAAAGCGTCATTATTACTTTAACAACTGACAACGCATCATGTCGTTTCGAACAGTGACGTTTCACCTGTTCAATAAAGGATTTTAGAAACTCACTAAACAATATTTATTAGGCGAGCAGTGGATCATGCCTTAGTCAACCCTCGACAGTCGACAACTGACTTCAAGAGAATTTCTCATGTACTCGCCTCAAGAAGTTCAGACGCCGGCTAGCAAACAGTCGGCTCACTTGGCTCTATTGGTTCTATACTTAGACTAAAAACTAAAGCACCAGACTGATTACTCGAGCTCGAGACATGTCCTTTTAATGGAAGGCAAGTCGACCCTCGAGTTAGCAGTTAGAGTTTCCAAGTCGATAATGAAGCTAAGTCATTCAGAAACGCAATGAGATTGTGCAACACAGCAAAAAACAATTTCAAGTTCAAAAGTGTTTCTTCCTTCATTGATAAAATATCTTTACAAGTTATAATGTATTCATATATACAACAAAAGTACAAAGATGAGAGGTCCTTAGAAAGCTAAGAGAAGTCCATCCCCGCACCAAAAGTCAGAGGCAGAGAACTGTTAGGAGCAGTTGGCGGAGGAGTCAAGAAATCTACCCTTCCGTCCAACTGACCCTCTTCCTCGTCGAGGTCGAGCCCCCTCCAAACGTTTCTACCTCCTTCAACTCGTCCAAGCAATTAGCTATAAGAGGAGGATAGTGAAAGTGATCAGGCAGGTTCCTCATCTCGGCTGGAAGCTGTGCCGATAGGTAGTCATACACGGCTTTGCAGGCTATCTCCACTTTAGTTTTCCCAATCAAGCTTTAACAATATCCCTCTATGATCTCCTGGCGATAGGATTTAGACTTGAGATGGACGACATCTTCTTGAAGCTTGACGAACGTTACATGCTCCTTGTCGACTCGGCGCTTCACATGCTCTGCCGTCTCCTTCTCCATTTTGGCCAATGCCTTGGCACGGTCCCTCTTCTGGAGAGCCTCCTCCATACTCCTAGCCTTCTTCTGGCTCTCTTGTAGCTCCCGCCTGAGCTCATCAACATCGAGAGCACTTGGAGCCGACGTCTCAGCAGCCAGCTTTGAGTCTCCCCCTCGCCGGCCCTCAGGGAAGTAACCTCCCTAAGAAGCTTGAGATATGCGGTCCAGACCCGCTCTATTCGACCGTATAACTTATTCTCCACTAGAGCACTTCAAATGAAGTAGCTACGGAGGCTATGTTGAAGACCAATATCAGGAACCCCTTGAAAGTACTCCTCGTCTTGAGGAAGCCAAAATTGCTCAAAATCCCTCGACTGAATCCAGCAAGACCCGAGGATGCCCCCCGGAAGTCGAGACGGTGTTCGGGCTCGAAGCGGTACTCTAGTTCGGGCTCCTGTCCATGTTGAGCACCAACCCGGTGAGTTCGAATCTCCCATTCTTCCTCTCTGACGTCAGAAACCCTATGAGGAAAGACATATTCCAGCCCATCGGGGGCGCCATTTCCTCCTCAGCCGGATCCTTCCCCGGACGAATCGACTCGCAGTGTTGGACGGATGATTCCTCCTATGCAGTAGTTATGGCCTCAGCGCCCTCTCCTAGAGGAGGCTCGACCGGTTCTCTCAGGGTCGACTCGCCCGTTGATTTGTCCAAATGGACGACCAACCTCCACCATTTCAGCCGCTGCTTGAGGCACTTGTTCTATATCCTTCCTCCTCCGTCTATGGACAAGGGTGGGAGCGGCCTCCTTCTCGGCTTCCTCGGCTTCCATTGGAGGAATGTCTCGGCGAAGACGCTTTGCCGGCCTAGCAGACTCCTCCTCCTGGGGAGCAACCAAAGGAACAGTAGGCATCGATGCTCTTTCTGCTGTCTCTATGATGAGAGTTGAGGCCCTATCATAATCTTGGTCAGTAGCAGACACGATCGACACGCTGGTGACCTGCAAGATCGACTTGTCGAGCAGATATTTGATTCGCCGAGAGCCAGCATACACATGGATCTGGTCAAGGGCATCTCTCTCGGCAATAGACAACTGACCCCCATGAGAGCATCTCTCCTTATTTCTGGCCAGTCGGCACAACCCAACTCCAGGTCATCTCCTACGACCCAGATGAATTTTTCCTTCCAGTCTTTATGTGAATCTGGAAGGCCGGTGACAAGCCTGAACTTCCCCACCATCTGAAAGTGGAAATGGGGCTCGCTCTAGTTCACCTTCACGACCACCAACCGCCCCAAGACTGGCAAAGAGGGGTTTATCCCTAGCCAATGGCAGATTACCATGAACCCCACCAAAATAGCGATGGCATTCGACTTCATCTGTGCCGGTGATACCCCTAGTGCGTCGAATACTTGTTTGAGAAAGGGGTGCAGGGGCAATCTCAGGCCGTACTCCAAGATGCCTTAGATAGAGCAGGCTCTGCTCCGGACCATGGTCATATATAACATCCGACCTCATCGGAGCCAACAAATCATATGCTTCAGGGACAACGAACCTCCTAGGGATTGTCCTCTTTTGTGGCGGGGTTAGCTTAGAATGGATCCCTGCCAGGAGAGCTCGGCGATCAACTGGGTCAGAAGCCATGGGAGGTTGAAGAAATTATCGCCGGAAAAAGATGAACGAATAAGAACTTGAATTCTATAAATGGGATTTCAAAAGGCAATAGCCGCCACTCTTATGGCCCTATTCCTTGTTCGCGTGGAAAACCGTAGCTTTCTTCATTAATGAGATAATTGTCATCTTTAGTTACAACTTTTCG